GTCCTCAAGATAGACCACTTTAACACTTTGATTTTATTGAAAAAGCTGCAAACAGGGCATAAATAAAGGCTGAGACCAAATGAAAAACAAGATAAAACATACAAAATTATATTTTATGCTTTCCCTATCAATAGTTAGCCATGGGTAGATTTTGATTTGCTCTGTCAGATCAACAAAATTCATCGATAGATTTTCAGTATGAGGACCTACCTAAACAAGCCATTTAAAATAATATATACTCAAGTAGACTCTCAAGCCACAAGTTTTCCTGGTAAATGTTGATAATCCAACAGATCAAAGTTGTAACAAAATTTGTGTGGCCAGCGTTCGTTCGACAAGCTGCACCAATTTAAGTAGATTTGGTCTTCTCTTCTTATCTTTTAAAATGAAAATCAGGCTATTTGTTTGGTGACCCGGCCATCTGGTTTGTAAGACAGACAATAGAAAGTGGGAGAATGCCCCAGACAGACCCAGAACACACTAGAGGAATTCTACTTCCCAGTTGGAGCTCAATTCTTTGGCTAAGCAAAGGGATTTTACAAGCAAGTGCAGGCAGGGATTCCAAGTATCCACAGTCCCCTCTGAAAAGGATTACTTTGAAGAAAGTCTAAAGAACTGTCAGTTCGTGGAAAGGTCAAGCACCGGAGGTGATTACTTTTTCCTAATCAAATGAATTCAGGGACTGGATGCAAATGTTGCATACACTATAAAAACTGTAGCTTATCAATGCACACTTAATTTGTTTGTCTGTATCTGATAGTCAAAGGTTCATGTTGGAAGTCCAGCACTTTTTTACATTGGAATTGATTTTTGTTGATGAACTACAACAACAAAAGAACATGCTGAATAGATGTTTAGCAAAATGGATACATCATACATTCAGTTAGGGGTAGATTTTAGGCACTATAATCCCAGGGCTATGGTGCCTGTTCCTAACATAAAAAACCACCATCAAAACTTTTGATACGTACAGAAAAAAACAATATTTGCATTCTTGTAGTAGGAGCTCCAGTGAGGCCTTTGTAGTAATTCCAATAGTGTGCTGTATGTAGTGCACTTAACCCAGGTTTCTCAATGACAGTTCCTGTAGCCATCAGAATCTGGGGCAAGAGTAGGGCAGATGCAAGTGCCTCATTGCTGATGATATGGTATCTATTTTTTTCATCAGTGAATGTGGGACTAAGATGTTTATTAAAGCCCTACATAAGGTTCAATTTTACATTAGATAGCTGGCGGATGATACCTGAGATTTTATTAGAATTTGGTGGCAGTCCTGCTGTTTAAGGCCTAGAACAGACATTGTCACAGTTGAAGAAAAATATCTGTTGATAGCCTGACGTTCCCTCAAGTTACTGCTGAGATAGTAGAGGCACCAGAGATGCTCGCCTGTCACATATATATGAAGGCTACAAGTTTCCAGGAGCATGTGATCCTCTCCTTTGAAGGGGGGAACCTTGATGAAGGGTGGATCATAGTATGACATCTGATCACTGTATAATGCCTATGGCATTGTTTGTTGATACTGCAGATGGGATCTAAATCACAGTCAGCTGTGATTCCTGCCTTGGTGTGATGTAAGAACAAATCTCTAGACCATCCTTTCTTAACTGGAATCCTGGGGTTCCTCCAGAAGTTTCTTGGGGTTCCTTGAGCAGTGGTGGATTATTTCTCTGCTTGATGGTTCCAGCACTGACATCACTCAGCATAGGACAAGTGAAACCTTTATTCTTATGTTTCGTATACTGTAAGACCACTGACACAAAACATTTTTTAGTGGTCTGTAAAGAATGCATTCTTCCCCCTGACTATCAATATAAGTAACATTCTATCTCCCACAGACCACCATTGTAAGGGCACCCTTCACCAAGTGCCAATGTAAAAAGTGTCCTTTTCCACTGACCACCAATGTAGGGGGGGGGGGGCTGTTTCCCACTGACCACTGATATAAAAGGGCAATTTTCCAAAGTTCAGCATTGTAAGAGGGTCAGTCCTTTCTGCTTGCCAGTGTAAGAGGACAATGACCACCTATGTAAGTTAGGTCCTTTTCTCACTGACCACCGATATAAGGGGGTCCTTTTCGCACTAACCATCAATGTAGGAGGGCGTTTACCACTAAATGCCAAAGTAAAGAAGCAATTTTTCGCTGACCAACATTGTATGGGGACCCATCCTGTCTGACTTTCAATGTAAGAGGGCAATGACCAGCAATGTAAGTTGGGTCCTTTTCCCACTGACCACCGATTGAAGAGAGTCCTTTTCCCACTGACAACCAATGTAAGGGAGCCATTTTCCACCAAATGCCAAAGTAAAGGGGCAATTTGCCACTGACCAGCATTGTAAGGGGGCCCTTCCTTGCTGCCAATGTAAGAGGGCAATGACCACCAATGTAAATGGAAATTGTTTAACTGTATTTTTTTGTCATTATTATTGTTTGTTCCATTTTAATCTCATGATTTTTACTGAAATTATTGTATCACATTGAGCAGGACGGTGATAAAAAAAAGGATCCACCTTGTGTGTCAGATATTCTAGGTATGACACATTTTTATTCCCTTATTTAATAATATATCTACAATTTACCAATCATGCTAATGTGCTGTTAACTGTAGATATAATACAGTTTACCAGGAGTTTCCGAAGACCAAGAAAAAAACCATAAAGTTCCTCTGGTTGAAAAAAAAGGTTGAAATAGGCTGGTCTAGACAAATAAGGGCATTCTGTGGGAAAGTAATATTTGAAATGTGCAAGTATTTAATGATATGTGTGGTTTGAGATCCTTCTGCAAATACTGAGGAACACTCTATTCTAGAAAATAAACCAGAATGTGTCAACAAAACCAAGCCGTGCCTATAGGCCTGTTTTTATTTCCCGCAGTTGTTTGGGGTTTTTATTTTTACCAAGGAATGCATACTTTTAGATACACAGACTCCATTGAGAAAGACTCAAGTCATATTTGGCATCGTTCTCTGCAACAACATTTGCCTTAATGTAAAGACCCTAATATTTCATGTTGTGAACCGAAGGAAATAAGCTGTGGAAATCAAAGAAGCAGCCAGAGGTTTACCTTACATGAACCCACTTTTCCACCCTGTTCCAATATTCTAACGTTTTATTTAAACAGCTGGGCTGTCTGGAAGTTGGCACTTTACACCTGCTAAGCTCAAAGGGTGGATTTTGGGAAGGAAAACCACAATTTCACCACAGATGTTGGTGTCAAATAGCCAAAATGAACAAATCACTATATATTTTTAACATCTGAGATAGAGGGAGAAGCACAAGAAAAAAGGATAATGAGCTGCATTGTATCAGGCACATACGGACATGTGCTGTGAATTAGTTCTTCATAGTTACAGTAAGGGAGATTAGCTTACTGGATGGCGTCCCTCTATGTGCGTCCATACTGTATAGTAGAGGAATGACTTGTGCTAGCCAGATTCTATCCCCAGAACTAAAGTGTAACTGAGTTCATGTTGCATGAACCGAATTCATTTTAAGAAAATACAAATTTACTTTGTACCAATATTTGTACAGATACTGCTACAGATAAAATGGTTATGAATAGTCAATGGACAATAAAGTAGAACATAAACCTATTTTGTTGTTTTATTACTGTCTGTATTGCCATTGGGGGATTTCCCCTCACTTCCTCTTGTGTCTCCTGGACAAGAAGTAAGGAGACATTCCCCAATAGGGACACAGACAGCAATGAAATGCCATGGGAAAGGGTTAGAATGTCTGACATGTTTGTAGCTGTCATTGCCCCTAATGACATTTCCTTACTTTCTGTTACTAGGACAGGAAGTAAGGCCTCTTTCACAGGGGGCGAGCTCCATTCTGGTCAGCAGGGGATCTCTGAGCTTATCCTCACTGATTGAAGCAGAGCAGAACAGATGGCACATCCATGTCTGCTCAGTTTATGCAGAGCAGACATGGACAGACCCCTGCTGTATGGGCGGCTGGGTGTAAACTGGGTGTCAATGGACTCCACTGTCCATTGACACCCAGCTGCCACTGATCCAGTCCACAAAAACGAATGAAGTCAGTTTACACCTGCCTGACCATAGGGATGCATGGATGTTCTGATCAGGTCCATCTGAAAAACTTGGCGGACCTAATTGGAACAACCGTGTGAGAGGGACCTTTGGGAAAATCAATTTGAGATTGTATAATGCAGTGCACTTCTAACAGCCTATCAGCCTTTGGACGCTGGGTGCTGAAATGACATCTAAATAAATTGCGCCATCATCAGTTAATACAGTGGTGCCCTCCTGTCCTTTACAACCAAAGAAGTTGCCATCAGAGCCTCTGTTTGATCTGCAACTGTCATAGTGCTGCACATGTGATCAGTTATGACACCAGCCACTTGATGGTTTGCCAGCTTAGTTGAGCACAAGCACCTGTGACATTTATCATGATCATTCATGGCATGTCTTGAATGTAAAGGATTGTTTTGCTTCGCTTTTTAATAACAAACATGTTATACTTATCTGCTCTGTGCAATGGTTTTCACAGAGCAGCCTCGACCCTCCTCATTTCAATTCCCCCACCTGCACTCCTGGCTCACCCCCCCCCCCACCGAATGCCCCCATAGCAAGCTGCTATGCTCGCTCTGGCCCCCACTTCCTCCTCACTGACTATGATTGACTCTTGTGGGCTCTGCACCACCTCCTACCCCACCCCCTTGTCAGTGGCTGCGATTCACAGCAGCAGGACCCAATGGCTCTCACTGCTGTGTCTAAGCCAATGAGGAGGGAGAGAGCCTCATTGAATTGAGATCGGGCTCAAGTAAATATAAGGAGGGCTGGGGGAGCAACCCTCTGAAGGTTTTTTACCTTAATGCAGTGAATGCATTAAGATAAAAAAAACTTCAGGCTTTAGAACCACTTAACTGTATTGGGAGGCAGTTAAAATCTAAATTCCACTTTAAGTACCAACAACAGGTCATGTTCTGGGAATTTCCCTTAGATCAAATAGCTGTAGTAAGTAACAAATCATTGAAAATTGATTTAAAGCAGGCCTTGATATTTCCACTCGCCTGCTCGCCAATGGCGAGTGGAAATTATGGTGGGGGCGAGTGTGTTCCCCAGGGCCGTCTTGCTGAGCAGGCTCAGACCGAATCTGTCATTGGCAATGTAGCCGTCAGACTGCTCAATAGCTGAGCGCAGTGAAAGCAAAGGAAGGAGAATGTGCTGTGCTCTCTGCCTCCCCCTAGAGTGCAGTACCCGGCTCTGTGAGTGAACAACGAAGTACTGCAACTTTTTATAGGGGTGTGTGTGTGTGTGCCTACCTAATTTCAGCTTACTCTGGTCACATGATCCTCTATGTCAGCTAGTGGTGGCTTCAGAGGAGAGGAGAGAGCACTTAAAAGCGTGTGTGTGTGTGTGGGTGTACATGTGTGTATGTTTGTATGTGTCTGTGTATGCATGTACATGTGTGTATCTGTACATGTGTCTGCGTCTATGTACATGTATGTGTGTGTATGTACGTGTGTGTGTGTGTTTGTGTGTGTGTAAATGTGTCTGTGCGTGTGTATTTCTGTGTATATACATGTATCTGTGTGTATGCGTGTCTATACGTGCCTGTGTGTGTATACATGTGTCTGTATGTGTGTACATGTTTCTGTATGTGTATGTGTGTCTGTATATGTACATGTCTGTGTGTGTGTACAGGTGTCTCTGTTTTGTGTTTGTTGGTGGCGAGTAACTCTTAAGGCCTGGCTAGTAGCTCAGGACTTGAAATTTTAAGCCCTGAATTAAAGTACCTGTGCTAGGTGAAGGAAATCCTGAAAACATGACCTTTTTGGGGAACTTGAGGACTGATGTTGGGAACCATTGAGTTTAAATGATGCAAAGAGTCACCAGCACACCATAGTAGATAAATATTAAGTTACACTCTGGGGTCACATGGAACCTGTCCATCAAGGTAACAGTTACCGTTGCGTTCATGAAGGGTCCCCATATGGCCCTGAAATGTTGCATTATGACAGTTTTGCAATAAAAATATCCCCATTTATTTGGTCCATATTCTAGTGAAAGTTCACAACTTTTCCGTATCTCCTCAACTTGAACCACCGACAGCAGTTAAAATCTCTTCTGTATGACAGTGGTGACTGTATCATAAGGCTGGGCTTGAAGTGGAACACCATTCTACCTAGCTACAATTAAGAGTCTATGCCCTGATAATTGTCCTTGTGTGAAAATAAAAAAAATGCATACCTACTAGTCTATGCTTTGTCTTCTTTTTTTTCTCACCGCTCTGCTCCTGTGCTACCATCTGAGAGAGACATGGCATGCATGCATAGAAAGATGTGGGTCTCTGCTCGGTGGGCACTGTAGACTGGCAGACACCTAAGGCTCCATGTACACGGGACACTTATGAACGATGGAACCACGTTTGCATACCACGTTAATGCGCGTTTATGAGTGTTTATGTTTAGAAGAGTTTTCTAAAGATAACCTTAGAAGACCTTCCAAAATGCCCAGAATACACTGAAAAACAGTAAAAAATTTACTATTTCAGACATTTTTGAGAGAAATAGAGAGAGCAGAAGCAGAGAGAGCAGTATTTGTTGAGAATAGCTGCCTTTTTTTTTTGTGGTGTTTGGATGTGTTCCAGCTCATTTCTGTGCAGAAATTATTGCAGCAGTGTCTAACGTATTTTCTTTCATGTGAAACCTCAAAGTATGGTGTACCAGGTCCATTTGAGTACCGGGAAAACACTTTGCATGCATTTTTCATGATGAAAAAAGGCTCTGGACAGCATCTGGAAATGGAAGAGTTAAAAAAAATTTCCAAACTTAAAAGCTTATACACACGTTTACAAGTGTTTGGTGTTTGAAACGCTGATAAAATCTACTCCCGAACGCAAGCTTGGTGCGTTCAAAGAAACGACTGTAAACTCAACTGCCTGTAAATGACTATAAACGACATAGTGTACATGTACACATAGGAAAACATTAGGGAGAATTCAGGGGCTGCTGAAAAAAAAATGCAGAAAAGCTCCTGAACGTGAGTTTATCAGCTGCAGTGTACATGGAACCTAAGGTTTTCCGCACATGCCTAGGAGGCTCTTATGAGAACAGAGGCACCCTGCAGGTTTCCTTAGTCCTGGCAGAGACCTGTGACATGCTTAAGAAAGGTATTTATGATTTAAAACAATATTTTTTTGTCCCAGTTGTTTAAGCGGGGTGGGGAGGCAGAGGAGAGGAAGTGCTATGCATGGATGAAGGTTCGCTTTAATTACAAATCCCGTGGCAGGTAAAGCCACTCAGCTGTGTGTTAGCCATTTATGCTAAGGAATATTAACATTTTTTGAAAAAGAAAACAGATTCCAGAGTCTCCCAATGTAGTCTTTGTACACGCTGTAAAGAAATACAATATTATAATCAATGTACTGTTTTGATGCTATAAATACTATACTTGCCTATGTGGTTTTTCTTTCGAATGAAAGGAGCGGTCATATTGTTATTGGAGAAAGCGGCATGCTGCTGAGTAACTGAAACATGGAGAAACTGAAGACAAAACAAAGTATTGGCGAGGGGAAGAAGGAATAGTCTGGGCATGTCGTGTTCTCCTCGCAAGCTCCAAATGTCATGTTTTGCTAAGGGTAAGGGAGTGAGACATGCCAGGAGCCTTTCTTGTGGGTTCTAATTTACAGTACACCAAGAAATGTGTCATCCTGAAATTGCGATTGTAGTTATTGGCATATCGCATTACAGCCCTGGTTTCGCTCATGCTGTTATGACGTTGTTCTTTGGATTATCTGTAAGAAACTTGAGTAAACGACTTTCGTGATGATCTTATGATAATGTGTGTTCATGACTATTTCACAACAGTGAGAGTGCTGCCATGAGTCAACAGTTCTTTGTCCCCGAAATCCGAAAAGTCCTATCCATTGCTCACAACTGTTTTTCATTTGAGGGGACTGTCCCTCATTTGGAAACAATTGCCTCTGTTCTTCTTTTTTGGCTAAGTTCACACTAGCCTAGTCTTTGAAAAGTGATTCCCAGTGGATTGGTTTTCAGAGCATGGCTAAGCAGCCGCTGTCAGTCACTGCTGCTTCCTGAATGCTTTTTTTGTGTTTGTTTTTCTTGCTGAATGGCAATTTACAGTGTGTCTATTGTGCCTCAACCTGGAGCCAAGTGTTTGGCTTGAGGTTGTGGCACAGCCCCATTGACTTGAAAGGCTGAGTTTGATGGGCGCCTGTTAACTCAACATGCTGCTTTAAAGTGTTACTAAACCAAGGACCCTGCATTCACTATATCTGGTCCCCCACAGTACATGGAAATTTAATTAATTTAGCACATATGAATTGCTAAATACATTTTCTCATCAGTAGTTACAGCAGTCTTGTGATTTCTTTTCTATCAGTGTCCAGCAGAGCACTGGTTAAAGCTTGTAGGAGGAGTTTTCATTCTCCCCTAATTATCCTATGAGGCTGCATAATCCCTGACCCTCTGTCTGGATAGTGCTGATTGGCCCTGTGCTGATCACTCTCCCAAGAAAAAACAAAACTCTAGGAATACACAGAAAAGTGAGCATTTACAGCTTGTCCCCAAGGCTCTGTTCTATCAGCAGATGGATTGGGGACAGTAGAATAAGGGGAGGATCAGAGAAGACAGGATCAAACATCTTTTTTACACGGTTCAGTCTGTCTTATCAGGTGATAAGAGGTGGTCGCTTAAAGAAGGGGAGAAACAGAGCAATTGGGATCAAACGGCCTTTTTGCACAGTGCAGAGCATTAAACACTTATGTTCCACATTGGGTATAACAAGCATGCTTTACTGCATTTACAGACTGATTTTGCTGTTGTGGGTTTAGGAACACTTTAAATTTGCAGTGGCCAAGGGCAAGTTGGCTTGAGGACTCCTCTCTCTATTCGATATGGAAAGACCATACCGTATCAATGTAATAGGCATGTACTGTCAATTGCCTTTGTATCTCTTATCACATTTACATGAGCCGCACACCAACTCTGTAGTACAATGTGTTTTGTCTGTCTCAGTGGTAGATTGTCTTGTTAGTGGTACTTTCTGCTGCGTGCCTTACCCCTGTGTGGACCTGGGCACTCAGCTTTTGTACAAGTTTATTAAAAAATAAATAAAAAAAAAGTAGCTTTAAAAAAAAATTGCATTGGCCATGGCATTTGAACAACCCCTTCAGATTTGAGGGGCCAGAGAGTGATAAAGCCATGGCTCAACAACCAGTTTTTGCAGTCCCCTGGCTGCTCATGTGAAAGAGGTCTATCTTAGTTGTCCCTCATTTTGGTGTGATGTATAGATGTCTATAAAAAATGTATTATTTACCTAACAAAAGTATTAAACTGTAGGGCTAGTTCACAGCAGTATCCACAATATAACCTCTGGTGTGAACTGTGAAGGGAGCAGTGCCAAAGGGTCATGAATGATGCATTGCTCTGCTTACTATTTTCTTTTTTTAACTTTAATGAAATGTCACCAAGTGACATTTCATTCATCTTTGTTCACTGTGGCAGGTTGCGATGTGGTGTATTGTATTGCAACATGCTGCGCTGAAAAAAAAAGTAGCCCATGTCCTACTTTATTTAATTGAACACTGCATAACAGTGGTGTGAACTGGACTCCTAGGACTCAAGGCAAATTGTCTTGTCTATGTGTTGGGACTGCACAGCACAGCCCAATTCAATGAGTCCTGAAAATTTCATCCAACCTCTACATCGTTGCATTTGTTATGTTGAAAAGCGAGCATAAGGGAAAAGCAGTAGTTAAAAAATCACTTGAGTTTAAGCAGTTATTTTCAGTGTATTAATTTTTCTTGATCTATGTAACTAAGGGAGTGGTGGATATGTGTCCTTTGCCTACACACGTCTATGCAATGGCTGTGTTTATGCTTATGCCTTGCAATAATGTTACTGTAGCCCAGCGTTTATCAACCAGGGCGCCCAGGCACTCTGGGGTGCCTTGAAGAGTCTTCAGGGGTGCCTTGGCAAAATGTCTAAAATTGCCCAAAACTTGTATACAAGCCAGTGGATGGAAGAAACCTGCCTTTTAGTTACACAAAGCCACGGGTTTTTCCATGTGCACCATTATGACCTTGTAGCCGCTGGCGTCCTGACAACCGATGACATCATCAGTTGATAAGGAGGATGACAGCTGCCTGCACAGCATCCTAGTTTGACCCCTCCCCTGCCCCTCTCCATCAGTGCTGGGGTCACATTAGCTCAGTGATGAAGAAAAACTTAGGGAGAAGGGAAACACTGGAATACTGGTCAGTACCAGTGTACAAAAGTGTATTTGCTTTGGAAGAATAAATCCCCTCTGTTGGGTGTCCTACATGTGTGGATGTTGCTGCGATATATAAAACTATTAGAATAGTTATTCACATTTTAGAATGGGGTACCTCAAGACTGTCCATAATTTTAAAGGGTGCCTCGGGACTGTCCATAATTTTAAAAGGTGCCTTGACTAAAAAAAGTTGAGAAATACTGCTATAGCCAATAGCGTTACTGTAGCCAATGGCAATGAGCAAGTCACACTTCATTAGGACACTAATCTGGTACACCTTCAGTGCAGCTGTGGTATGCTGCATTGGGAAAAAATAGTACATGTTCAATTTTT